CCCCGAGGCCAGCTGCATGGCCCAACTCCGTGTCAGGGCCTGGTGGCCTGGCCAAACCAGACTGCGTCGCAGTTGCGTTATGTTGAAGACCTTACGTGAGCCTCTGGTGGCTTCGCAGAGCTGAAGGCCGCAGGCCTCACCTGTGAAGAACCTTGGCAGGCTAGGGGTGCGCCACGCACGAGGCTCAGGGACTGCGCTTGTCTGTCACCCCCTCGGGTGTTATTTGGTGGGGTGAAGTGAAAGTAATGCTGATGCTGTTATTGGTAAGACCCAGACATACCCCAGACCTCTGACACTATGCCAGTTACACGCCTGTGTGGGCTTGCTGCCGCACCTAGCCACCCTGCTGTTCCCTTTATACCAGAAGACCAAAGGAGCGCAACTCGGGGCTGGGAGATACACCAGAGCCGCTCGCTTCCCAACACTCAGGAGGCTGAGGCAGGAGGATCACCATAGTTCGAGGACCGCCTAGGCTATATAGTGAACTCAAATCCAGCCAAACTACTTAGTAAGACTCTGGGGGTGGGGAGGAAGCTGTTTGCTGGATACACACACAGGAAGCTGCTTTTGGGGGCTTGAAAAAGGGCAGTCCCTTTAAGTGAGTGACCTTAGCCTGCCATTCATCCTAACAGCGAGTGTGCATCCTATTGGGTTTGGCCAGGGCCTGTGGCAAAAACAGGAAGTAAAAGCAGCTGCTGGGGTTGGGCCATAGTCAGGGAAGGGAGCTGGGAGCTGTATTCCCTGACCGAGACTGCAGCACTGTATGCTCCTCTGTGTGCCCATGAGGAATCGGGGAACAGAATGCAGGGTACAGACATCGACTCCCGTCCCAGGAGTGGGGTGGCACAGGCCCCCACCCTCTCGCGTTGGGGACACAGCTGCAACAGTGGCCTCTTTCTCAGCCTATTGGCAGCTGAACTGGCAATGGTTTGGTGACGTATGTGAGTTTGAGGCCAGCCTGGGCTACATACTGTTTAAGGTCAGCCTGAACTACATGGGAAGACACTGTCTCAAAAACAGCAGCAGGAGCTAGGGACATAGCTGCGGCGGGGGAGATAGCTCAGTTGAATAAGCACTTGCCTGGCAAGAGCAAGGGCCTGAGTTCAGTTCCAGGCTCTGCAAAAGAAACAAACAACAAAGAGATTTGGGAAAGAAAGAGAGGCTTGTATTGTAGATATTTTTGAGAGCTGGGGAGATGGCTCAGTAGAATAAGCGCTTCCCTGACAAGTGCAAGGGTTTGAGTTCAATCCCTGATTCTGCCAAAAAAAAGAAAAAAAAATTTTTTTGAGATGCTTTTTCTACTAGGCAGGTAGAACGAGATCGATCACCTTAACCTGCCGAGGGGCTGTGTGCTTGGAGGCTGCTCGATTTTGCTTTTCTTTCATTGTTGTTCTGTTCTGTGGTTCCTGAGTCATCCAGGCCTCCCCAGCCAGCATGGTCATTCAGAGCAGTGCCACCACCTGCCCAGGCCTGTCCACCCTGCTTCACAGTCCATGCTGAGCCCTGGCAGCGACAGCCTGGACAGCTCTGTGTCCTTGCACAGCTGCAGAGCACCCCCAGGCCCCGAGCCCCTCACTGCACCCTCCACAGGCTCAGCTGCCTATCCAGTCCTTCGCTCACGCCCTGGTCAGCCTGCTCCAGTGTGCAGGCCTCGGGCCTCCCGACTGTGGCTGACGCCTGCCTGTCTACCTGCTAATCATGTCCACGGCTTAGAATACACGTGCAGTGCGGCTAAAGACACGGGCTCATTACAGCGAAAGGCACACTGCCATGACACACGACAGGCCGCAGGTGGCCTCTGTGCAGCAGGGACCGTGTGTGAGGGACGCTGCTGGCCCTGGTGCTGGGCTCTCCTGCCAGCCTGTCGCGGCCCTCTGGGCCTGGAGAAGAACACATTTTGTCATAAAGCCTCATAAACATGGGCATTTCAAACCTTCACTATTCTTTAGAAGATTCTATTGATACATTATTTTGAGTTTTATTACATTAATGATTGCTTAACAGGAAAAATATCACAGAAATAAAGTACTGCATTTTAAATAGTTTATTAAAAGTATCAAAATATTCAACACCAACTTTTTGGTATATGAAGACTAAAAACAATAGAAATAAATTTTGTATGAACTACAATGACAACGCCAACAGCACGCTACAGAAAAGCACTGTCAGCCACCCGAGCAGCAGGAGCTGGGGACATAGCTGGATACACACACAGGAAGCTGCTGGACCACCCGAGCAGCCTGCACGCGTGCCGCCAGCTGCTCCACGCACGCTCCGCTTACACTGACAGCACCCGTGTTTGCTTTCCTGGCCCTCTCTAGGATGTACCTGACATCTTGCTGGTCTTGCTGTTTTGTGGGGAGGTTCTTATTATATTACACTCTATGTAGTTAACAGGAACATAAAATATCAATAAACATACTAACTTTTAGTGTACTGTATTCAGAATCAACATCAACATTTTCACTTAAGTGGTGTATTGCTTACAAAATCTAAGATAACATAAGAAATAAAAATCTGTGTGAACAACAATGCAAACACAAAGCCTACCACAGCAGCATCCACTTCCACTGCCTCACCCAAGGCAACTGCGTGGTCCAGGTACACGTCACGCTTACCCTGACAGCTCGTGGCCTTAGCTTTCCTTTCCTGGCCACCAGAAGTTACCTCTCTTCCTGTTCCATCAGGAGCTTCCCACTATGTTGTCCAACCTGCACTGAGCAGGGACACAGGACACCACATCAATAAAAGAAAAAGCCAAGGGCCGGCCGGATAGCTCAGTGGAGTGCAGCAGCCCCACCCCGGGGCGTGCTGAGACGGCGATGGAGACTGGGCATGGTGTTGAGCGTCTGTAATCCCAGCGCTTGGGAGGCTGAAAGCAACGATCAGTATGAGTCTGATCTGTGTAGTGAGACCCTGTAAACTCTGTACTAAATATATCAAAAAAAAAAAAAAAAAAAAAAAAAAAAAAAAAAAAAAGCAAGAAAGAAAAAGCAAAAGCACTCTGCAGAGTGCTTAACAGATGTCGACTGTTTTCGCGACTTCTGTGTGCTTGCTGATACAACCTAAGGGAGAGCATCAGAGATAAAACCCATGTGAGCTGTGATGAAAATGGCAACAGAACTCTACAACAACAGTAGTCTGTGCTCCACCTGGCATGCCCAAGGCACTCTGTCCTTGCTCGGAGGGCACAGTTGACATCTTTTTCGTCCTCCTGCTGCCACAGCAGGTCTTTGGGCGCCGCGCCTGCCTGTTCACCTGCCAGCCCACCTGTGCTCCAGCTCTTTGGCACAGCCCCCAGGCAGACCCATTTTGCTTTTCCTCTGCTGTAAATGACCTCTTAGGAGCTCTGGTCCCAATCCTCTAAGAAAGTTTCTCCATGGCAGTTTGTACTTTTTCCTCATCAACTATCAAACTATGCCACACACATTTAGGTCCAGTAAAACACAACCACTGGCCAGTGCTTCGCGTTTCGAGTGATACCACACATAACTCATCATCTACTGGATTTGCTGTAGAAAGCTTCAATCTCAGGCTTCCGTTTTGTTGAGCTTTCTCTCTCAGTATTGCCATCGCGGTGAAATGTGGGCAACAGCAGGACCGTTTGCTTTTCTTGGCTATCTGTGATCTGTTAGCAGCACAGAGGTCCTGTCAGCAGAGGGGTAAAGAAGGTCGTTGGCTGACACAGCGGCATGGAAGCTCTGCCACAAACCTTGTAGTTCTGCAACGCCTAGGTCCAACCCAGGGACATGCACACGACACCCCAGCCCAGGGACCTGTTGACTTGCTTGGTCAGGGAGGCGGCACCTGGCCAAGCGGCTACCTCTGCTGCCTGAGCAACTGGGGCCACAAGAACGCACCACTGGCCCCTGCTTAAATCTTCTTACAGCTCGAATCTTGTGCGATGCACACACACGCACGCTTGCCCCAGGGACTTACAAGGCCATGACGCCAGAGTACGTGAGGAACCAACAATCACAAGCAAGGCGGAGCAGACAACAGGAAATAATCCGATGGATCCACTGGGGATGCTGCCTGCCAGGCAAGGGGCTGCTACGTGCCCCTAGAGCTTTTGTAAGCAGATTCGACAGTGGGGCTACTGGTCATCCTTTTCACAGATAAAGGTATAACACCACGAACCACAGTCCTGAATACTTGAAGGTCACTCATTCTGGTTAAAGGACAGAGGCGAGTCTGGGTGTGGTGGCGCACGCCTGTGATCCTAATATTCAGTAAGCTGAGGCAGGAGGACTGTTGTAAGTTTGAGACTGGCCTGGGCTACAAAGTGAGCTCTAGGCCAGCCTGAACTGCATAGTGAGAGCCTGTCTCAAAAGGATAGAGCAAGGGGGCCGGGGAGATGGCTCAGTGGAATAAGCACTTGTCTGGAAAGCACAGGGGACTGAGTTCAATCCCTGGCTCTGCCAAAAAAAAA